ACAATCAGACATTTAAGGCGTAGCCGAATCAGTAAAATAATGACAAACAATGAGCAGTTATTCTCTGGTATGGTTGAAGTAATCCCATTAAAAGGTCGTTTTGACATTTGTCCGCCATTATCCGTTGTCCACTTCGTTAATTTACACTTCACCAGCTTTCAAAATTCAAGAGAGCAATGTTTTGATCTGTCATGTTGTTTGTGGAATTCGCGTCTTGCTTTGTTCTTTCTCTTGTGTTCATCGTCGATGTTGTGAGATTTTCCCTAGTGACGCCAGAGTCTACGACATCTTCTCATTATGGAGAGGTTTTAATCCGTCTTTTTACCAATATTGTTTAAGGTACGAGGGATATCTGGAGCACAGTATTCTGTTGTTTGAGGAGTCTCTCAGTTGTAAGAGTTTATCTGTTCTTCAAGAAGCACCTCAACACATGTCTCCCGAAGACGGTTCTCGATCTCATACCGGTATAGCATCAAGTCAAGGTCGCTTGCTTTGTTTCAGGTTATCTTGTCACCAGTGTGTTTACTGGACGCGGCGACGTTAAGATACACTACTATAGGCAAGTGATCAGAGTCCATCATATGGTCAGTTACACAAGGAGGTAATCTACATGTCCAAGCACATCATCAGTGAGCGTTCTTGAAGTATTAAACTTTGTTAAGAACGTATATTGAGTCTGCTCGTCTAAGGTGAGGTGAAATGGGGTTTAACGTCGCGTCCAAGATTATTGCACTTCTATAGCGACGTGCATGCACGTGTGTGTGTGGCTGCTTGTACTAGTCCGGACTAATGCCGATTTATAGTGCTAGCACACTGAGATACCATGCCGCAGTTTAACATGAATACCCCACTCAGACACAGTATACTGACTCCGAGCCGACCAGTCCTTGTTTTAACCCCTTAATGCCGAGCACCAGACAGGGTAGCAACATGTACCATCTTTTAACGTCTCCGGGCGGACGCTCTACTAGACCGCGGAGGCGATCTACTGCTCGTCTAAAGGAAGAACATAAATGATATTTCTTTCATGGAGTGATCTCTGTAAACATGACGTACGTTTTCTAGTGAGTTGAAGATGGGTACGCAGATCTGCATTGCAATCTCCCAGGTGAATAGTGTCACCTCCATGTGAATATAAGTCATGCGTCGCCATGGTAAAGTCCTGAGCTTCTATACACACACACTGTCCAGAACATTTGAAGATGGCAGATGTGTTCCCAGGATCGGTTCTTGATAGTGAATGTTCAGTCCTGATATACGGTCCTTGGCATTTGTTCCCAGTTGTGTGACATCGGACTGTTTAGATTTTCTGACGAATATCGCCACGCCTCCTACACTTCTGGGACCTGGCGGGTGTCTTGGCATAAACGGGGCGTCACCGGGGCAAAATCACCGGTCATTGATATAGCCAGTGGTATGTGATGTGAATGGGGAATAATTGGTGTAGATACGAGATAACTTTATACGAATAGAGACCAGCTTGTGAAAACTTGTTTTATGCTAATATTTCTACTGAATCCGCTATTCACAACTTACGACTTGAATGTTTTCGCGTCATTTAACAAAACTGTGTGTAGACAATACCCTGGATGGTATTGCCAGAATGTCCAAACTAAACCACACACAGACATTACGTAGTAAAACCAATGTTAGCGCGAACTTATCTTTGTAACTGAACGTAACTATTAGTACCTTACTATCACGAAGGACAGTATTAACCTATCCCTGATTAAAGAAAGCATTTCATGTTTTAATTCACTGTCCAACTCAGCTTATCAAGATGTAACTCAAAAGGATGTTTTCAGTTGTTGAAGGAGAAGCTTTGATAGAGTTCTGCGATGCGCTAAATCCCCAGAACAATGTCCCCAGCCATGCGACGATACAAATGTTGCTGATGCCGATGTGTGATGAAAATAAGTGAGAGTTTAAGACATTCTTACCAGATTTACACCCGAGACCAGTTGCACTTCAATGGATAAACTGTAACATGCTACTTTCTGAACCACGCATGGCATTTTTGCAGCAGGGTCCTTGTGATAAACATTCACCTCTGGTGGCACTCACTGGCGTTAAAAACCCCATCTGACACTATTGTTTAAATTAACGACCCCTTCCTGTCAAAGGCAATCTGTTGATTATATTACAACTATGTTGGTTTTCCCTCATCCAGTGGTCATAATATTTAACAAATGAGACAAATATTCAGAAATACTGATTATGCAAACATTTATCATTGTAAAGGGAAAAGTTAACCTGATATACATGTACCAAGCGGTCATTGTAAATCGAAATGAGTCATGTAAAGTTAAACTCACACCTTAACCCAAATGACTACGTCCGAACTTTGGAGTCGCCACGCCCTGACCCTCACAACTCACATTGTGCCCCAGTCCTGCATCTGGACGCCATGCCCCGACCCTCACAACTCACACTGTGCCCCAGTCCTGCATCTTGACGCCACGCCCTGACCCTCACAACTCACATATTGCCCAAGTCCTGCATCTGGACGCCATGCCCCGACCCTTACAACTCAAATTGTGCACCAGTACTGCATCTGGACGCCACGCCCTGACCCTCACAACTCACATTCTGCCCCGATACTGCATCTGGACGCCATGTCCCGACCCTCACAACTCACATTGTGCCCAAGTCCTGCATCTGGACGCCACGCCCTGATCCTTACAACTCACATTGTGCCCCAATACTGCATCTGGACGCCATGCCCTGACCCTCACAACTCACATTGTGCCCCCACACTGCATCTGGACGCCACGCTCTGACCCTTACAACTTCCATTGTGCCCCAGTACTGCATCTGGACGCCACGCCCTGACCCTCACAACTCACATTGTGCCCCCACACTGCATCTGGACACCACGCCCTGACCCTTACAACTCACATAGTGCCCCCACACTGCCTCTGGACGCCATGCCCTGACCCTCACAACTCACATTCTGCCCTAATACTGTATCTGGACGCCATGCCCCGACCCTCACACCTCACATTGTGCCCAAGTATGGATCTGGACGCCACGCCCTGATCCTCACAACTCACATTGTGCCCCAGTACTGCATCTGGACGCCATGCCCTGTCCCTCACAACTCACATTGTGCCCCAGTACTGCATCTGGACGCCATGCCCTGACCCTTACAACTCACATAGTGCTCCCACACTGCATCTGGACGCCACTGCCTGACCCTAACAACTCACATAGTGCTCCCACACTGTATCTGGACGCCACGGCCTGACCCTTACAACTCACATAGTGCCCCCACACTGCATCTGGACGCCACGCCCTGACCCTTACAATTCTTATAGTGCTCCCACACTGCATCTAGACGCCACGCCCTGACCCTTACAACTCACATAGTGCTCCCACACTGCATCTAGACGCCACGCCCTGACCCTCACAACTCACATTGTGCTCCCACACTGCATCTAGACGCCATGCCCTGAACCTCACAACTCACATAGTGCTCCCACACTGCATCTGGACGCCACGCCCTGACCCTCACAACTCACATAGTGCTCCCACACTGCATCTAGACGCCATTCCCTGACCCTCACAACTCACATAGTGCTCCCACACTGCACCTAGACGCCATTCCCTGACCCTCACAACTCACATAGTGCTCCCACACTGCATCTGGACGCCACGCCCTGACCCTTACAATTCACATAGTGCTCCCACACTGCATCTAGACGCCACGTCCTGACCCTTACAAATCATATAGTGCTCCCACACTGCATCTAGACGCCAATCCCTGACCCTCACAATTCACATAGTGCTCCCACACTGCATCTAGACGCCACGCCCTGACCCTTACAAATCACATAGTGCTCCCACACTGCATCTAGACGCCATGCCCTGACCCTCACAACTCACATAGTGCTCCCACACTGCATCTGGACGCCACGCCCTGACCCTTACAATTCTTATAGTGCTCCCACACTGCATCTAGACGCCACGCCCTGACCCTTACAATTCACATAGTGCTCCCACACTGCATCTGGACGCCACGCCCTGACCCTCACAACTCACATAGCGCAACAAATGTTATAAGTGGGATAACACTTTCTGTGTTAAGTACAGGTTCGTCTAATCGTGGAGGCCTGCGTCATTCTGCACATTTTGATTCCTATGCGATGCCCCACCAACAAATCATCCCCGGTTCACGGCAAACACACATGATGTGTACAATATTAGGGGTCCCAATCAAGACAGCACTGCGGCAACGAAACAGGGGGAGTTCCTGAAGTTGCACTTCCACTCCGCAGCTGGTTCGGTGCCCTGCTGCTACTGTGACATGACATGAACAATTGGCAAACACATCTACAAGGATCTTCACGAGTCTGACCCTCATGTGTCTTGTGGAAAGATAAAATTGTCACATTGTCTGTGACGTATGCTGGAGTTTTCCCTGAGTATCACGGCGGGGGTCACCAGAAAGGGGCTTCACACATTGTACCCATGTTGGGAATCGAACACGGGTCTTCGGCGTGACGAGCGAACGCTTTAACCACTAGGCTTGCTATTTATCGATGCACTCAGCAATATTCTAGCTTTATGATAGGGGTCTGTTAATGATCGAGTCTGGATCAGACAATACAGTGATTGTCATCATGAGCATCAATCCACGCAATTGGTACATGATGACATGCATCAACCAAGTCAGCGAGCCTGACCACCTGATCCCGTTAGTCGCCTCTTACGACAAGCATAATCGCCTGGTACGACTAACGGGATCAGGTGGTCAGGCTCGCAGACGTTGTTGAACCAAATGTGAGAACAGCTTTGCCGGTAATAATCCAGTGATGACATGCATGCACTGCACACAAGTTGATGGTGATGCACATCATCGACATCTAACCGCTCATAATTCGGTATACTTTTGCCAGGAACACAGCAGAAGTAGCAAAACAGTCGTTGTGGACTTAAGGTTAATAAAACTCGACCTTTACAAACGATGCTGTCTAAATCCGTGGAAAATGAAAGTGAAGTGAATTGGTTAAATTTATTCATTAACAGGCACTTTACTAGGTTCATCTGTATACGCAAATGGCGAAGGAGTTTGATATATATGTACAAGTCCTTCTAAAGCAGTTATACATAAGAATATATACCTGTATAGATGACTCACATTTAAATCTAAGCTGAGATCTAACAAATAAAGGTATAAACGAATTGATCTTAATTTGCTATGAGAAAGACTGAAAGGTTTATAACCTCGGTATGGAACACGATCCATGCCTTCCGTCAGTTAACAACAGTGTATTAAGTATACAACTTGCCACAAGTCAATAAATATAAAACAACTATTGAGTTATTCAACCCTACAATTCCATTTCAAGTCTGTTGCCATGGAGACAAACGATTTCAACATTAAGAATATAATATTGTAATAAAATCATAGATTTTCGTAGAGCTATAGGTGATGTTTGTTGTTTAACGCCCCACACAGCAATATTCCACCTATATGACGGCGGTCTGTAAATAAGCGATTCTTGACCAGACAATCTAGTGATTTACAACTCGAGCGTCCATCCACGCAATTGGGATCGATGACATGCAACAACCAAGTCAGCAGGCCTGACCACCCGATCCCGTTAGTCGCCTTTCACGACAGCATAGTCGCCGTTCACGGCAAGCCTATTCTACCCCGGATCTTCACAGGTCAGGTATGTGCATACATGTTATACAATCGCTGTGCATTCATAAGTCTTATAAGGAACAGGTGTAGAACATTACAGGAAAGTTAACCATTATTTCCACAATAACTAGGGGTGGTGGGGTGGTTTAATGGTAAGAACATTCACTCGTCAGGCCACTGACCCTGGTTCGATTCCACACATGCATGGGTAAAATCTTGGAAGTAAATTTCTGGTGTTCCCTGGTGTGATTTTGCGGAAATGTTGTTTCAAGACGCGTAAAACTACACTCGCAGACACATCAGTAATCATTGAAGCATGGTTAAACTATGTTCGGGAGTTTCCTCCGTGGAAGCGAATGCAAGGAAACAAAGTCTCAATCTCCCTGTTGTTGCAAAGTGCCCTAAAGAAATGCTGAAGGCGTCTTTAAACATACATTCGATGTTTTTCCTAAATACACGCATTGCATACAACATATTTTATATATAAAAAAAAAGACCTCGCTCAATTACCCGCAGTTCAAAAGTGAGTGAGTGAGTGAGTGAGTGAGTGAGTGAGTGAGTGAGTGAGTGAGTGAGTGAGTGAATGGGTGAGTGAGTGAGTGAGTGAGTGAGTGAGTGAGTGAGTGAGTGAGTGGTCTTCGGCCACCATCAATGTCACCATCACGACAATGCCTTGACTATTATTGTTACCATCACGACAGTGTCTTGACAACCATTGTCACCATAACGACAGTGCGTTGGCAATCAGTGTCGCCACAATGCCTTAACAATCATTGTCACCATGACGACAGTGCCTTGACAATCATTGTCACCATGACGACAGTGCCTTGACAATCATTGCTTTCTTCTCCTCTGTCATGTTTATGTCTCTGCCCACTACAAGTGTCATGATGACAGTGGGGCCAGGTTGGCTATACACCCCCAACATCGGCCACAGTGGCTGACTGGAGTCTACATTGCCTAACGTCGACATCACTTTATTCTCCTTTACATCAATGAAGACAATCTTCTTCCTAGCGTCATCATAGACGACACCGTAATGTAGTGTGTGTGATGCCCCTGCTGTGTTGGGGAGAGTGTCAGGCTGATGCAGTACACACTCCCACTCCTTCCATGTCATCCTGCATATCCCGCCGTGTGTAGGACAGTGGGCGACGGTCAAGCTGTAGGAGCCGGGACGTCCACCTATCCAATACACGTCCCTCTGCTCCTCCCTGCACACACCAACCTCCAGGATGACCCAGCCCCACGGGAGTGTTTCATCCAGGCTGACCCTAGATTTCATCTCCCAGTACTGGGGACAGCCAGCCCGGGGGAGGGGGGCAGTGCTACATGTGCCACTGTACTTCTTCAGTCTCCCCTCCCCTGCAGGTCTGGTGTCCGACTTCCTGTTGACCAGGTCTCCTTCTGTGTTGATGTGGACCCAGGCGAGATTGGCTCTGTCTTTGTCATACTTTAGGTGTACACCTACAAAATACGAATGTAGTTTACATGCGAATAAACATGAGACAAATATAGTGACAGTTTGGGTCTATAATGATATTTACATGCTCGGAATTCACAGCTAAGTACGTTGTCCTAATATATATAAATAGTGTTATATAATCACATTGCAGTTGTACGAAAATAAAACTTTATGTGTGTTATATTTGGATCAATGATTTGTGTTTATATTGGACTAACTGACACTACTTTTAACCCGAATGTAAATGTAGTTCTTAATGGGTCTGGTGTATTCTTGTTTGTTTGTTTGTTTGTTGTTTAACGCCTCACTCCGCAATATTGCAGCTATATGATGGTGGTCTGTAAAAAAATCGATTGCGGGCCAGACAATCCACTGATTGACATCATGAGCATCAATCCACGCAATTGCGATTTGATGATGTGTATCAATCAAGTCAGAGAGCCTGACCACCAAGTCGCCTCTCACGACAAGCATATTCGCCTTTTACGGCAAGCATGGGTGTGTTGCTGAAGACCTATTCTTCCCCGAGATTTAGTGAATGGTTCGTAAGTTATTAAATGAATCAGAGCGGTAGACACAAGACATCAACATTCAGTGATCAGACTTGATATAAATCTGAAAAAATCAACAACTAAAAAAACAGGGATAAACAGACACGATAAACATTCAGAGGTCGAATAATCGCAATCACAGGCTTATACCGTCTTATACGAGTCAACGTGGTATAACGAGGGACATGTAGATTGCATGTCAAACAATGATAAGATTACAGTGTCACGTGACCTGGTGTCGCAATGTCGGAGCTGGTGAACCCACGTGTCTCGGCGGGTTGACGTTGGGAGATATGTAGTAGACAGGCAGCATTATCAGTACAGGACTCAACCCATAACACAATAAACAAGGGACATTCTGTTAATTATGAGGAAGATCAGCTCTACACTAAAATGAAAACAATGTCATCACTCCCTGCCATAGGCCACAATAGAATTGTGTTTGTTCATACAGTAGTAGTGACTATTTAGCATAAGAAGACACATAAAGCCTAAAGAAGACAGAGCCACTTAAGCCGCTATATGTCATCAGAAAAATGAATTAAATGTGAAATTAATATACGCAAAAGACCCCTCTAGAAAAAAATAACCCGGCCAGCACATATGTCTTGTACTTTACTGTTTTCTTATACAGCCGAATTTTCTCCATGAGTTGAACTTTCGTTTCATTTGGTCTGAAGTCGACAATGTCATATATTCCTGTATGGTCGTCTTCAGACTATTCAAGGTTTGGGCGACAGTATCTAATTCCCGGACGCTATATTAACTGGCGTTATCCATGACAATGACACTGAAGTTGTTGTTTAAAATTGGCAATAGCTGAAGATCCAACCAGTCTATGAACACATAACCACCTATAATTTCCTTATGAAAATCTCCAGAAAATTAGCACACATCCACCAATAAGCCCCATATCATGGGTTGTGGCTAGCAAACAATGACACGGTTACTTTACCTGATGGCACTATGAGGGCTTTTTGTCCATCTGCCAATAGCCACATGTAGTCAGTGGAATGATTCATCAAGGTAAATTATCTTGACATCCTGACTGTGATAGTTATGAATGATCCGGAGATAGCAGGGACAGGTCGGTAATTCACACTATCTAAATTCGTAAATGTTTTTTCTCCATCTCTCTAAAGTGTAAAGAACTTGTGTACATTTCCCAGTACATACTCCACACCCTGTACCTTGGCTGTGGCTATGCAAGTGTAATGTAACATGCATCATGGGATCAACGAAACACAGCATCATTTTGTCACATCTAGAAGTTTATCCAAATGATTTGTGTGTGGGGGTGTTTTAGGAAGAATACATTATTATCATTATAACGGAGTCACTTGCATATAATTCTACTGTCCGTTTATCCTGTTTTCGTTTGAATTTGTCTCCTGTTAACTTGTCGATAGGGCGGATTCCTTATGACTAAAATACTTCAAACTACTTCGTGGCGGTGGATAATAAACCTCTGTGACATCATCCTATCGTCAATGTTCAGGAAAGCCTGCACGTAGCTAGGTTTGCATTTGCTAGTGAGACCCCCTGGGTTTTTTATGAAAATATATGATCAATAGATTTATTTAAAAATACATGTCTTCTTAATACCATCTTTACCTCTTCTGAAAACAGGGGCACGGGAGGCCCAGTCGGCTAAGGCGCCACGATTCACTGTACAGAGTTGCTTCCCCTGGGAATGCCAGAAACCTATGGGTGTGGGTTCGAATCCCTGTTCGCCCCGATTATGTTTCTAGGTTTGACAACACCATACCCGTGCTCACGGGTTTCATCGAAGTGGTAAACGTCTGAGACCTGCATCACTTCAGGCTTTCCTCCCACATTAGGCTGACACGCCGCGATATAACTGGAATACTGTTAAAAGCGGCATTAAACCCAACTCACTCACTCTTCTGAAACATTGATCCTTATTTTGTATTCGAACCCTCATATGACGAGACAATGTCTAACTCTGCTTGTCATGGTAACCCGATGCACGTTAGTTGCCCCATTTCCACCCAGATCGGATAACATTCATTCGTTATTGAATTGCTACCACATGTCAAGATTGACAAGAAATCAGAGAAACGAAGCCCTTGGACGATTGCAGGATGGACAAACCACCCGGCAAGTAGCCAATGCCTTTCAAGTCCAAGTAAGTACCAGTTACAGGCTCCAGCAACGGTACCAGACCACCAACACTACAGATGACCAACCACGTATTTGAAGATCAAGGGTCACCACCCTACGTCAGGAATGTCAGATTGTGCGACAGCATCTTAAGATCGCTTTGTAACTGCTGCGGAAACTGCCCGACAGACCATCGGGACACATCAGCAACACATTAGTGCGGACACCGTGCGTCGACGATTGACGAGCAGACACCTCCACTGGCGACGGCGTGGGGAACGTTATTCGGATGCTTGTGTTGTTGAGAGAGACTCATTGGCTGATCCGAGCATCATGGTGTGGGATGGAATTGGTCTTCCAAAACATCGGTCCAGGGAAAGGGAATGGGAGAGGCAATGGTGTCACAGCAGCTCGGTACATTGTTCAAATCTTGAGACCACATGCCATACCTCATTTGGCACGTCGCCGCAACCACGAGTTTCAGCATGATAACGCCCGTGCCCACACTGCGAGAGCAACGAGATACCTCCTCCGGCAGAATGGCATCAGAACCATGCAGTGGCCTGGCCTCAGTCTCGATTTAAATCCCATTGAGCACCTGTGGGACGAGAATCCAAAGACGGCTGAATGACAAGGCCGACAACTGCAGCTGAACAGCGTCAGGCGTTCCTCAGAGTGTGGGCTCAAGTGCCTATGGCCTTTATCAACCGCCTCATCCATTCCATGTATCAACGTTGCACGGCAGTCATCAATGCACATGGCGGACACACGAGATACTGATTTGTGATGCCATTTTCTCAGAGACTAGAGTTGTGTTTCACTTTGAGAACATTTGACACTTTCATTTCAACATTGATGATCAGTCTTGCCAAGTTTCATCTTTTTAATATGTCTCAAAGTATGTTTACAGTGTTTGGTCAAATAAAGTTTCTCATAATAGTCTATCATGGTGACGTTTCTTTTGCGGCTCAGTATATATGACTGCTGTCATTTAGTACCTTATGTGATTTTTTGAAATTTTGCTGCTCATTTCGCTATGTGTAGAAATTGCGTACCTGAGAATTTGCTTGCTATATTTAAAATGTTATGTATATATTTAGATTTATTTGGAACACACAGGCTCCCATACAAGCAGTTAACATTAAAAACTAAAATGTAATATTATAATTGGAATACATGTATGTTTCGAAATGTCTTTTTGTTGTTTGTTATGACAGGAAGCTTCGTGCTACACATGCTAAATATATTAAACGATTGTCTCGCACGTGTAACTCGTGGTCGTTTGGAAAGCAGATGCGAGCGGGCGACCAGTTGTTGAAAATTTCATTCAAGTCATTGCTGAAAGTTATTTTCGAAAATTATCAGTTTTGTGAAAGTTGGATCCGATGTGCTCATGTCATGACGTGGACATTTTTTTTGTTCGATTTCGATTTTGTCAATGAGAACATCAACAAGCTGTAGTATGTCCAGTCGTGCTACCGCATGTATCCTCAGTTATTCCAACACACTTTGCAGTGTCACTGGTGTCGGCATAATGTTTTTATAATAATTATGTTGAATATAATAAGTAAGAAATGTTTTGAACAGTCCCTTCCAATGGCATCTTCCTGAGGCAAGGGAGTTCACTGATTGAAAAGTCCAGTTTCCACCCTTGCCGAACCAGGCTGGAATCTCTGGGCCTGATGTAGCGCCACCAGTGGCTATAACGAGTTATGTCCCGTCTATGTCCCTCCTATTGACCAATCGGATTCCACCTCTCATAGCACTTACATTTGCTTCAAACAAAATGGCGGCACCCAGTCAAGACCATCAGATCGATAATCAAGATCTACGTTGTAATAAAACGTGTCTTACTTTGCAAAGTGCATCAAATCACGTGTGCACCTTGATTAAAGACATGAAAGATTTGGAAAATTTCTGTTGACGGGAAAGTTGACGGTACACATGTTTTGCCAATCCTGCAATCCACAGAAATCTGCACTACAGTATGGGAACTGGATGTCGATTTTGTAACGCGATTTTGATTGGACGATGCATAGACTCGTTAGTCCAGCCATTTTATGAGTCCATAATTCCTGTCTTGTTTGGCAAGGATGGAAACTGGACTTATAAAAGTCCGCCAACTCCCTTGCATCGGGAAGATGAAGCAAACAAGAAATAGCTAAATATAATCATTAAATGCTTACAAATAACACTATGAACTGTGGTTTCACGACATGCACAGGCTATGAATATTGAAGAAGTGATAAAATATTAAGCGGTCGCTAGAGAAGGTTTTTTGTAAGAAATCAAAGAAAGATTGTACATATAATCTGGTCCTCCGCCCCACATCATGAGACCACGACCTTCGTGGGGATCTTGAATACAGCCAGGAGTCATTCTTTTCCCCCTGTGGCGATAAATACGGAATAGGTTGAACCTGCTCTCATCGGTAAACAAGACACCTTGCCATTCGCGCCGCTGCCAACGCTGTAGACGTCGGTCCGACCGTAGTCAATCTTGGCGATGTTGTGGACCCAACACCATCCCGGGGAGCGCTCTGTATGAGGTGTTTTTGGTTCATGTGAATGTGTCTGACACTTTCGGTCGACTTTTATACAGGTACCACCTGCACGGATGCTCAATGCAGAACCGAAAATCCTGTTTGTCTTTTTGTCAGAGCAGGTGCATCGACAGCTGCATGGTTTTGGTTCTTTGGAAGCGAGTGTGCTGCGTTTGGGGCAATTGTTTACATCATGTTACAAACATTTGACTGCATGCATTTTGGGGGGTCATTCAACATTTTCTTATGTGAACTTTCTTTTGATCTTTGCTTTAGGTACTCACAATGCAGGACCATGCGTCTGTCTGCTACACCTGTCTTCAGCAGATGAACACAGCCTCCAGTTGTGAATCCTGCAAGACAACAACAGCTTAGAGTTAGTGGAATTGTCCTTGTGTGTAGACTCGGTCCAGGGGTCGCATACCAGGTCACATACATCTTCCCGAGGCAAGGGTAGAAACTGGACTTTTTACATTCATTTAACTCCCTTGCCTCGGAAAGATGGGTCACATACTGCTGGGTCCTTTTATTTGGAGCGAAAGATATAATTGGTATATTTAGGCAATTGTCTAAAGTGTGCGTCATAATGTTCCACAGACAGGAAGTCAAACAAGACTATATCAAGGAACAGACCACTAACAGGGTGTGAAAACGGAACCAGTACCAGGAACAAACCACAGACAGAAAGTGAAAACAGGACCAGAACCTGGAACAGACCACAGACAGGAAGTGAAAACAGGACCAGTACCAGGAACAGACCACAGACTGGAAGATAAAACAGGACCAGTGCCAGGATGAGACCACACACAGGAAGTGAAAACAGGACCAGTACCAGGAACAGACAGACCACCGACAGGAAGTGAAAACAGGACCAGTACCAGAAACAGACAGACCACAGACAAGAAGTGAAAACATGACTAGTACAAGGAACAGACAACAGACAGGAAGTGAAAACAGGACCAGCACCAGGAACAGACAACAGACAGGAAGTGAAAACAGGGCCAGTACAAGGAACAGACCACAAACAGGAAGTGAAAACAAGACCAGTACCTGGAACAGACCACAGACAGGAAATGAAAACAGGACCAGTACCTGGAACAGACCACAAACCGGGATTGAAACCAGGACCAGTACCAGGAACAGACCACAGATAAAAAGTGAAAACAGGACCAGTACCAGAAACAGACCACAAACAGGAAGTGAAAACAAGACCAGTACCTGGAACAGACCACAGACAGGAAATGAAAACAAGACCTTAACCCGGAACAGACCACAGACAGGAAGTGAAAACAGGACCAGTACCAGGAACAGACCACAGACAGGAAGTGAAAAGAGGACCATAACCCGGAACAGACCACAAACAGGAAGTGAAAACAGGACCATAACCAGGAACAGACCACAAACAGGAAGTGAATACAGACAGTGTACATACCAATCAGGGTTTGTAGACGATCAATGGTTTCTAAGGCGACCTGGCAGTTTTTGTCTTTCTTTGACTCCAGCTTTGCAAGCTCCTGAAAGGTAAAATATATTTTACCTTTGGGTCGGAGTTGGAGGCTGTACATGAACTCTTATTAATCAAACAGTATCAATATATTCTATCAATCATATCATTATTGTGAGACTAAGATACATCAGTTGACTGGACCTGCAAAGTCTTTGTGGTACTACTTTGATCAGTTCAGTTGTTCTGATATTGACTTCTAAGATATTTAGACAATATGAATGAAATATAAAACAATTGATTTGGTAAATGTATCCCTATATAACTAGACTTACCATTTCGTGTTTCTGTTCAAGGTCCGCCAAATAGTCATCATCAGTTTGTGTTTGCTTATCTGTAATTGTAGAAGCAAATTGTGAATCCCGAGTGACAGAACACTGCTTTAATTGAAATAACACCACGAAACACGTGAATTAGGTTTTTGGGCACATATCATCAATAAAACACAATAGCTGTTTTGATATGCATACCCTCAGATGTTCCCCCTTCTGAATCTTCTTTCAAGGTAGTGATGTTCCCAAATCCAGACATATCTGATTTCAGTTTGGACAAGCCATTGATGTTGAAGACAGCTTCAGGTACATCATGTGTTTCAGGTGAAGCAGTTTCTAGGCAGATCCGAGTCATCCCCTCAACAGTAGTCTCCAGCTGCACGAGGACCGATGTTGAAGCATAGAGAAAACATTTTCGGATGTAACCTGAAATGTCGGTGCATCTTGCATGATGCTCTTCGCATGAGGTTTCAAGAGCATGTAGAGTTGCCTTGGTTTCCCTCGTCTGACTTTCAAGATCAATCAGGAGTTCCTTCTCCCTTTGGTCAAGGTGTGATCTTAAAGACCGGAAAGTATGTTCTATTGTCTTCCTCAATGTGTCCTGTGTCCTGTTGGTCAACTGAGTTTCTTGTCTGATGCTCTGAAGGTGTGTTTGCTGACGAGACAGTAACGCTGACAGATCTTTCCCGTGTTGTTCAATCCGCTGTGTCACTCCTTCAGCAGCTTCATCCAGGTAACAAACCTCGTGATCCGCGTGCTCTCCTCTCCTACATTGGCAACAGATACACATGTTGCAGCTTTTGTCGAACAAATCAAGTGGATACCGTTCGTGAATACTGCAATTGGTTTTATTTTCAAGTTTTGTGGGGGTTATATCCCCAAAGTTGTGCACAGCATGATTTCTGGAAACTTTGACGCTGCTGTGCATGTTCTGGCAGTATTCACAGAGGAACTCTTCACACTCCTGACACCAACACACAGCCTGGTTCCCGTCATCGTCATTTGTACAGAGGGGCTCTGTGGTGCGATGTTTGACGGTCAGGTGGAATATTTCCTTCTGTCTGACTGCATCCTTCTGGAGACTTGTTTCTGTGAGGTTGACCTCCCTCTGACATGTGGAGCATGATATCACACCGCCAGCCGGAGATGTCACACACGTCCCACACAGAGCGTGTAGACAGGGCAGTAAGTAGGGGACTGGACCTTTTAGTGTCAACTCCTGATGACAGACGGAACACTTCGGGAAGGTGTCCATTCTGAAAGACACAAATCAATACTGAGATACACATGTCAAGTGTATGTGTGTAAGATCCATAACCATGCGACGTTTGTGGTGTGAAGCATCCACTTGAGTGTCTCTGAATATGTAGTATTTTTATCAAATTGCCTAAAAACAGGTTTTCTGAGACCATCTGTGCAACAAGGAACAATATTTTAATTATGTGGCCACTTGCTGATCCAAAAGACAAGCATTTGATTTCTGTTGAGCTATTCATCCTCACTCTAGTAGACTTGTTTCTCGGTCATTTATAGACAATTTTATTATTGATAAAAATACAAATTGTTACCTTAAATAAAAACATCTACTTTTTAATTAAATTTCTCCTGTCACAATCAACCCAAATCACATGTTCATATCAATCCAATATCACACATAATTAAGGCCAGTGAAAATACATATCGTTTTTCAAAGGAACAGGAAGGGATTTTAAGATGTTATTTTTTATAAGTTTACACATATAAAGCAAATATGAACTTGATTGATAAATGCTTCAGTTAATTTGAATTGAGTGAACAATGAATGAGTAAACATGCGTGAGTAAACAGTGCCAACATGTTGCTCGCAAGAGTGAGTGAGTATGGTATTACAACGCTTTAAGCAATATTCCAGCTATATCAAGGTGGGGGGACACTGGAAAATGGGCTTCACACATTTCATCACGTTGGAAATCGAACCGGATCTTCGGCGTGACGAGCCAACGATTTAACCACTAGGCTACTCCTACGCCCCTTCTCGCACAAGATGACGTCATGTAGGACAAATGTTAAATGTAGCACACAACTACTTTAATCCGTGTCAAGCGTAGAATTAAACCCACATAATGATCATGCGTCCATAGAACAATGTCTGTATACTAGATGGTTACCCCTGACTACATACTCGACGATTTAACACGAACATTTATATCCAATACAAATATAAAAAAAAAATCCAACTACATCAAACATCGCACTATTGTACTTAGCATATTTGACATATTCTTGATCACTGCTCAATAAGCTCCTACTAACCAGAAATGCGTACAAGCCAGGTGAGGGGAAATTGGGTTAAACATCGCGTCCAAGATTATTGCACTTATATAGCGACGTGCATGTACGTGTGTGTGTGTGGCTGCTTGTACTAGTCTGAACTGATGCCGATTTATAGTGCTAGCACACTGAGATACTATGCCGCAGTTTGACATGACCCCACTCAGACACAGTATACTGACTCCGAGCCGACCAGTCCTTGTTTTAACCCCTTAATGCCGAGCGCCAGACAGGGCAACAACAAGTACCATCTTTTAACGTCTTTTGGTATGACGCGGCCGGGGATCGAACCCCAGATCTTCTCCTCTCCAGGGGGACGCTCTACCTCTAGAGCACGGAGGCGATGTACAGTTCCAGAAACCCTCACTATACATGTACATTCAGATACAACATAAACCAATATTCCTGATAAAGCAGCACTAATTCTTTCAGCATGCATTTGTGATCACAATAATAGGATTTTATAAATTATATTCAACTATGTAGTGGCCCCTGTGGTCTTGTGGTAGAGCGTCCGCTCCGGGGGCGGAAGGTCGTGGGTTTCATTCCCGTCATTCATACCAAAAGGCGTTAAAAATGGTATTTGTTGTTACACTGCCTGGCGCTCGGCATTAAGGGGGCAAAACAATTAGTCGAGTAAGTGGAGTATTCGTGTTTAACTTTGTCATGGTATCTCAGTTGGTGAGAACTATAAAATCGGCATAAGTATAAGCACACACACACCACACCACACCACACCACACCACACCACACCACACCACACACACACACACACACACACACACACACACACACACACACACACACACACACACACACACACACGTGCATGCACGCGACGTTTAACCTCTTCTCCCCTCACCACACCCAATATTAACAAAATAATTCAACACTCTTTTTGTACTCCTGGATACACAACGACAATGTATACAGTACACGGGCCATTAATTACATACATACAGTAACCCTACCCTACCACTGAGAGATCACTATACCTGTACTATCAGCAGCAACATTACACCAGTAAGTGTCTTCTTGATAAGCATCACAACTTCATGACTCACGATAACAAAGTGACAAAAGACCTTACTCCTATCTCACACAGTAGGTTCGGGGAACCGGTGTTTGTCGTGTAGTGTTGAACGTTGCGTTCAAGATTATTGCACTCATATAACGACTGGCATGCACATGTTCTACCTCTATCACACACGGCGACACCATATTTTTCTATACATTATTGAAGGCGTTTCATGACTTGTATGAATGAAGCCCGACCTCGTTGTAAAACGAAATTAGGTATGTGTGTCAGTCAGCTAACACTAATATCATGTCTATAACTTGTAGAATAAAGGTACATGTACAACCTTCAGCATCCTGGTAGTATCTTGACATATACATGTACGTTTTGACCTGAATATCAAACAGTTTTCTGTGTGTAGAAGGACAGAGAGAGCGAGAGAGACGAGAGACAACACACCCACCTGGACTGTAGACTTCCATCACTGTTGACACGCAGGTCACTTCCGGGCGATAACGCAGGAAAACTCACTTATTACAAGCGTGTTAGAACTGATAGAAATATTTGAGTTCACAATAATAATGAGAGTGTCCATTTGTTTTACTTGTGATTACTGTGCATGTAGTAACGTGGGGAACATGTACAAAGTTTACAAATGTTTTATCACGTTACATTCCACATGTTAAGGATTGGAAATTGTGAAATAAATATAGAATACTGAACTCGCTCCCATGTTATGCCGATGTTTTTCAAACCAGTGAACAGTTCTCATATCTGACCTATTCCGGAGTTTCATAAGATTGGTCTGAGACGGGAGCGAGTTTAGTATTTTAATTATTTAACTTGCGCTTATATCTTATTTTTTTAATTTTCACGGTCGTTTGTGAATAGGCAGACATCTTCGCGTTCCAGATCATATTGTTTGTTTGTTGTTTAGTGAGTGAGTGAGTCAGTTGGGTTTACCGCCGCTTTCAACATGGATATAATGTGTGAAGCCCATTTCTGGTGTCCCCCGCCGTGATATAGCTGGAATATTGCTAAAAGCGGTGTAAAACTATACTCACTCACTCACTCATGAGATGATCTTTATTATATGAGTGTTCATATCACATGAAGAGGAGGTCGACGTCAGAGCCGCAGCTGTCCAACATGACGTCATGCCATGTCGTGGAGGAGATGGTTGGAAGGGATGGTGTAGACAGAGAGAGACAATCAGTAAAGTAACCAGCATCCCTGTTTTATGTGAGTGAGTTTGTGCCAGGCGACTTTGAACAGTATATCAGTTATATCAAGACGGTTCAGCTGTATATTTGGAGAAAAGCCCAAAGTAATGCAGGTCTTATATTTACTACTTTGGTGAAACCCCCGAGTACGGGGTGCGCTGAAAAACCAAGGATCATAACTGCAGCGAAAGTTGGGATTCGAACCCACTACTATTGGTATCAAGGTGCAACTCTTCACAGAGAGTCGCGGCGCCTTAGACGACTTAGCCTTCTCCAAGGTCCAGCTGATTGAGTGCTATTCAGTAACGACTAATAAAACAAAATGAAAACTTATAATAGGGCTCCATGTGCGGTAGTGGAGATGATGGCGTTGTTTCCACGTTAAACATGAGTCCCCGATCACACCTTGACTGACTTTGTGGGTTCAGCTACTGGCATATAATTCTTACTCTTGTTGCAAGCCGGGCTGAGGAAATACAGGAAACAGAGTGAATCACTTTGATCAAAGTTAGATTTATTTAGAATAAATGTGAATAATTACACTCCATGTGTAGGATAAAGCACGTCCGTGGATGATTAGGATATTTAAAACCTGCTTCCGCGGGAAAAAACACAGAGGCGTCAGTAAGGGTTTTAAAAATGTCAATCACTAGATTTGTCTGGTCCAGACTCGAGTAGTTACAGATCACCGTCATTTTGCTAGAATATTGCTGTTTGTGTTGTCAAACAGCAAACAAACAAAACACTTGCAGACACTAACATTTAAATATAGTAACTTCCATACTCCTGCTTACATCAAATAGTACTACACTTTTGACAACTGGTTATTCTCAAAACACAATTCTATGAACTTCTACTGAATCTCAGCAGAAACAATGTTTAACAACAAATTACATTGCCATATAACAGTAGTAAGCTATTTTCGGATGCGTGTGCTGTACGTGTGTTGTACCTGTGTTGTACGTGTGTTGTACCTCTGTTGTACCTGTGTTGTACCTGTGTTGTACCTGTGCTGTACCTGTGTTGTACCTGTGTTGTACGTGTGTTGTACCTGTGTTGTACCTATGTTGTACCCGTTAAGTATCTGTGTTGTACATGTGTTGTACGCGTGTTGTACGTGTGTTGTACGTGTGTTGTACGTGTGTTGTACCTGTGTTGTACCCGTGAAGTATCTGTGTTGTACGAGTGTTGTACGTGTGTTTTACGTGTGTTGTACCTGTGGCGTACCTGTGTTGTACCTGTGTTGTACCTGTGTTGTATGTGTATTGTACGTGTGTTGTACGTGTGTTGTACGTGTGTTGTACGTGTGTTGTACCTGTGTTCTGCGTGTGTTGCATATGTGGTGTTCGTGTGTTGTACGTGAGTTGTGCGTGTGTTGTACCCGTGTTGTAAGTGTATGTACCTGTGTAGTATCTGAGTTGTACGTGTGTTGTACGTGTGTTGTACGTAAGTTGTACCTGTGTTGTACGTATGCTGTACGTGTGTTGTACGTGTGCTGTTCGTGTGTTGCACTGTGCTGTACGTGTGTTGTATCTGTGTTGTACCTGTGCTGTACGTGTGCTGTACGTGTGCTGTACCTTTGTTGTACGTGTGTTGTACCTGTGTTGTATCTATGTTGTACCTGTGTTGTACGTGTTGTACGTGTGTTGAACCTGTGTTGTACGTATGTTGTACGTGTGCTGTACGTGTGTTGTACGTGTGTTGTAAGTGTGTTGTACGTGTGTTGTACCTGTGTTTACGTATGTTGTACCTGTGTTGTACCTGTGTTGTACCCGTTAAGTATCTGTGTTGTACGTGTGTTGTACCTGTGTTGTACGTGTGTTTTACGTGTGTTGTACATGTGTTGTACCTGTGTTGTACCTGTGTTGTACGTGTGTTGTACATGTGTTGTACCTGTGTAGTATCTGTGTTGTACGTGTGTTGTACCTGCGTTGTACCTGCGTTGAACCTGCGTTGTACGTATGTTGTACCTGCGTTGTACGTGTGTTGTACGTAAGTTGTACCCGTATTGCACTGTGCTGTACGTGTGTTGTACCTGTGCTGTACGTGTGCTGTGCCTGTGTTGTACCTGTGTTGAACGTGTGCTGTGTGTGTGTTGTACGTGTGTTGTACGTGTGTTGAACGTGTGTTGTACCTGTGTTGTACCTGCGTTGTACCTGCGTTCAACCTGCGTTGTACGTATGTTGTACGTGTGTTGTACCTGTGTTGTACCTGTGATATACCTGCATTGTACCTGCGTTGTACCTGTGTTGTACCTCCTTTGTACCTGTGTTGTACGTGTGTTGTACGTATGTTGTACGTATGTTGTACCTGTGATGTACGTGTGTTGTACCTGTGTTGAACCTGTGCTGTACGTGTGTTGTACCTGTGATGTACGTGTGTTGCACTGTGTTGTACCTGTGTTCTACCTGTACTGTACGTGTGCTGTACCTGTGTTGTACCTATGTTGAACGTGTCCTGTATGTGTGTTGGACGTGTGTTGTACGTGTGTTGCACTGTGTTGTACCTGTGTTCTACCTGTACTGTACGTGTGCTGTACCTGTGTTGTACCTATGTTGAACGTGTCCTGTATGTGTGTTGGACGTGTGTTGTACGTGTGTTGTACGTGTTTTGTACATGTGTTGTACGTGTTTTGTACGTGTGTTGTACGTGTGTTGTACATGTGTTGTACGTGTTTTGTACGTGTGTTGTACGTGTGTTGTACCTATGTTGAACGTGTCCTGTATGTGTGTTGTACGTGTTTTGTACGTGTGTTGTACGTGTGTTGTACCTATGTTGAACGTGTCCTGTATGTGTGTTGTACGTGTTTTGTACGTGTGTTGTACGTGTGTTGTACCTATGTTGAACGTGTCCTGTATGTGTGTTGTACGTGTTTTGTACGTGTGTTGTACGTGTGTTGTACCTATGTTGAACGTGTCCTGTATGTGTGTTGTACGTGCTTTGTACGTGTGTTGTACGTGTGTTGTACCTATGTTGAATGTGTCCTGTATGTGTGTTGTACGTGTGTTGTATGTGTGTTGGACGTGTGTTGTACGTGTGTTGTACATGTGTTGTACGTGTGTTGTACGTGTGTTGTACCTGTGTTGTACGTGTTTTGTACGTGTGTTGTACGTGTGTTGTACCTATGTTGAACGTGTCCTGTATGTGTGTTGTACGTGTTTTGTACGTGTGTTGTACGTGTGTTGTACCTATGTTGAACGTGTCCTGTATGTGTGTTGTACGTGTGTTGTATGTGTGTTGGACATGTGTTGTACGTGTGTTGTACATGTGTTGTACGTGTTTTGTACGTGTGTTGTACGTGTGTTGTACCTGTGTTGAACGTGTCCTGTATGTGTGTTGTACGTGTGTTTTACGTGTGTTGTACCTGTGGCGTACCTGTGTTGTACCTGTGTTGTACCTGTGTTGTATGTGTATTGTACGTGTGTTGTACGTGTGTTGTACGTGTGTTGTACGTGTGTTGTACCTGTGTTCAGCGTGTGTTGCATATGTGGTGTTCGTGTGTTGTACGTGAGTTGTGCGTGTGTTGTACCCGTGTTGTAAGTGTATGTACCTGTGTAGTATCTGAGTTGTACGTGTGTTGTACGTGTGTTGTACGTAAGTTGTACCTGTGTTGTACGTATGCTGTACGTGTGTTGTACGTGTGCTGTTCGTGTGTTGCACTGTGCTGTACGTGTGTTGTATCTGTGTTGTACCTGTGCTGTACGTGTGCTGTACGTGTGCTGTACCTGTGTTGTACGTGTGTTGTACCTGTGTTGTATCTATGTTGTACCTGTGTTGTACGTGTTGTACGTGTGTTGAACCTGTGTTGTACGTATGTTGTACGTGTGCTGTACGTGTGTTGTACGTGTGTTGTAAGTGTGTTGTACGTGTGTTGTACCTGTGTTTACGTATGTTGTACCTGTGTTGTACCTGTGTTGTACCCGTTAAGTATCTGTGTTGTACGTGTGTTGTACCTGTGTTGTACGTGTGTTTTACGTGTGTTGTACATGTGTTGTACCTGTGTTGTACGTGTGTTGTACATGTGTTGTACCTGTGTAGTATCTGTGTTGTACGTGTGTTGTACCTGCGTTGTACCTGCGTTGAACCTGCGTTGTACGTATGTTGTACCTGCGTTGTACGTGTGTTGTACGTAAGTTGTACCCGTATTGCACTGTGCTGTACGTGTGTTGTACCTGTGCTGTACGTGTGCTGTGCCTGTGTTGTACCTGTGTTGAACGTGTGCTGTGTGTGTGTTGTACGTGTGTTGTACGTGTGTT